CCCGGTTCTGCCCATGTTGTCGTACCACGTCTGAGGAAAGAAAAGTACTGATGTGAAGTGACAGGTGAGGGAAAGATTCAGGGCAAATGTTCTGCCATATTTGCTTAGTACCTGTCGAAAGGTCTTCTTTGAGTCTCTACAGGCCGTCTCAACGGTGAACTTGGTGCTGAAGATGTTGCACAACTTGGCACCGTATCCATTACGCCCACCTATAAAGTAAGGTATAGATCACAGGTGTCAAAGTTGAGGCTCAGGTGCCAAATCCAGCACCGAAAAGCATTTTATAGGCCCAATGAAGCAAATTGTGTGTCTGAAATAAACATTGTTTCTCTGGGAGTTGGCACCATTTAAGAGTTTCAAACTTTAGTTGGTACCAGGAGAAACAAAGAAAATCCCAGAAGGGGAAAAAAAACCTAAAAAGTTTGGAATAATGCCATTTGCTTTTCCTGGAAGGGTGGTGGTGGGGAGACATTAAACTGGATTTTTGTAATTTAAAAAAATTAAGTTGGGTGATGATTCATCAACCCCATATGGTAAAACAATGTGCATGACATATCTTACCAGTGACTTTCTTCTCATCGTCGTCATAGTTACTAGAGGTGAGGAGCTGTCCAAAGATGAGTGCAGGTACAAACACTTTCTCCACCTTGTGCTCCACCACTGGGATCCCCTTGCCATTATTCCATATGCTGATGGTGTTGTTTTCACTGAAAGGGGGAGGGGGAAAAAAACATAAGCCACGATAAAAACTCATTTAGGTTATGTGAATTGTATAATAGTTTGGATCATGTGAGGTACACTCAAATAGAAACACAATGTATCTTTCCTCCCCCCAAAATGTTGATTGTTCCACTTTGTACATTCCCCTGCATATAACCTTCTCTGGGTAAACACCACTGAAGCATATCATACTCACACATCAATGTTGATTTTGATGCAGGACATACTCTTATCTCTCTGCTTGTTGTCCGCAGCATTTACTGGGAGGAGGAAAGGGAATCCTTGCATGAGATAACAAATAAAAGACTGTCATTTGGACTTACGGTCATTTCAGCTGTTTGCTTACCAAGGATCTCATCAAAAATCTTGTAAAGCCCCGGTACGAACGTTACATCCCGGCAGTTCATTCCAACATCTTCGTCATACACCCACATTTGCTGAGGAAAAAAATGGCAACGGGTGGGTTCTCATGCGTCTTGTAGATCCAGCTAGCGATTTGAGTCTTACCTGGGTGACAGTCTCTACTGAGCCGATGTAAGAATCAGGTCGGAGCAAAATGTGCTCCAACTGAGTCTTCTTCTGATAGATCCTCTCCACTGACATGCGTTTGGGATCCTTCTTAGTCTTCTCCAGTGACTGGTTCTCAAAGAAATTGATCTGTTGAGGACACAATTTTAAGTCTTTTGATTTGTTTTCAGTATTTCATATGTTCATAATTGTGTATTGTACATTAAAATTGTAATCACATGTACCCCCCCCCCCTCCAATTCATTTTCGGTACAATTAGTATCTCATTGAATCATTACAGGGTTGGTTACCATTTCCCACTGTACTTTGATGCTCATAATGATGGTGGTCCTTGATAGAAAATGACCCAACCGATTCCTGTCCGACGTGAAACGCCATTTTGAGCGTTTGGGGGCGAACGCCATCTTGTGAACTGATTCGTTGACCCCCACAAAAAATGCAAATTGTAGTTCAGCTTCGTAGCAAGTTCATGCGAGAGGTCCCTATACTACCACTACCTTTGTTTCTCGTTTGTTTTAACATATTAGTGAGCTTTTTTCCCCCGTATCAATAGTCACGTAACGTTGCTCGACAACTTTAAACTGCATGGTAATTAGCCCCAGGTTAACGTCCCAGTCCAGCAGCTCAGTGTCAGTTACCTTCAGTGGTTCAGCCATTTTCCCCTCCTTTGTTCGACAGGGATATCCGGTCTGTGTTTACTGCGTTTAAAATGAACAATTAAAATCCTTGGATAATATACGCAGGTACACGATTACAGTGGGAGCGTTACCGGAAAAGAACGGAGTTAAGTGAGTGCGACCCCCGTTTGAATATCATAGCGTTTCAGGCGCCAGTTCACAACAGCCAATGAGCCATTGAGCACGTGACAAAATCATCCAATAAGATGGTCGAAATCAACGTTTTGAGTTTTTTTTTCCAATAGCCCAATCAGCGAGAGTATTGGCCCTTTCACCCCGCCCTTAGCACCCAATGGCCAATCGACTTCGCTTATTTTATAAACAAGGTTCAAACTTTTTCTTTTTTTTTCAGTACTACTTTTTTAAAATTACAGTATTTTTTAACATCTTCCAACAACGATCTGGCCCAACTGTCTCTTTTAATTTACCATTTCGAATCTATCCAGTCATTACCAAACATGTCAGAGTTGTGTCGTATAATTGCAAATACAGTAGCTTCCCAAAACAAACACAAAGTACCTGAACAATTGTATTAAATATGCTGGGACTAGCGACCTCCTCTTCATTTCCCCTCTAGTCATCTCTGTCACAGCAGAATGAAAATTATTCATCTTTGAGCAAGCGAGCAATCATCCAGCGGGTTTCTTGTGTGTATTGGGAGTGTGTTGCACCTTGACAGTCTGCCAGCAGTCAATGTAAATGCAATGATGCGCTTGCCTCTTCTCCTTATCTGTCTTCTTTGCAGGTCTCTCAGCTGACCTGGACATGGTTGTGAAAGCACTGTCTGTTTCAATGAAAGCCTGACCTTTAAGATGAACTCAAATCCCCACGGCTATTGTGGTGAATATGCCTGAGAGACACAATATAGTGCCAGGCATGACTTTGCAGTTCTTTAAAAAGGCCAGAGGGAAAACAACTTTTATCCTGTGCTGGCAGGCGGTCGTGAGGTGGTGGAGCGATTTTGGTGAGGCACTGGTGCTGATTGCTAGTTGTGAATAAATATCACCAGAACGAGAAATAGCATAGATGCTATGCACTAAATCAAATTCAAAATAAGTACTGTACAACGTACACGCCTAAGGAATGGAGATGGACACTTCTCAGTCTGCTGCTGTAATAGTAGTCATTTTTAGGCAGAGGATAAATAACATATGACTGTGAGTATTGTTATTGATCTGCATGGGTTGCCACAGTTGCAACATTCCCAACACATGAACATTCTCATCACTTTGAAAAGAGGGCACCACCTATTATGACTGGCTGTGCTTGCTTTGGAAATAAATCCGTTTGATGCGCCAATCTCTTGTGTAAGACCCAGTCAAGACACGCTGGAAAATAAATAAATAAAGTTGGCTAATGTATTCGCACAAACCCGGCGAGTGTTTGATCTTGTTCTGTGGACGGGGCATACGCCCGGGAGCGCTGGAGGAATGAAAAATGAGAATGAAGGAGAAAAATTCATCACGGCTTTTTCATCCAGCTCCACGGCAGTGCTTAGACACCACGAGGGACTCTTATATGCAAATCCCCCTTGCAAGGATTACTGTCATCTCACAGGTACGGCCTTTATCAAGAGTGCAGACTGGGGCAGAAGCAATCATAATGAAGCTAAATTAATTGACTTGCAAGTGCAGCTGATCCAAACTCATGCTTGTTTGCGCGTGCATACTGGCTGCTTGTCGAAGCTTTTGAAGTAATCTGATAAAACTGAGGGAGATTGACTAGCGGCGCACTCTCCCCTGAAGCCGAGTCCAACTCATTCTGTTTCTGCTGTCTCACTGTCAGATTTTCTTGTCAACGAAGAGCGGGAATGCTGAGAGCAAATCATGTCTGGAGTGACCTGTACAAATGAACACATTTCATAATCGGCATCTTCGGTGAGCAGAATGTATGTTGTTATGGCTAGCAGTCCAGGGTGTACCCCCGCTTCTCGCCCAAAGTCAATTGATGAACAGAAAATCGAAACAGTTTTTTAAATCGGTTTTTAGATGGCACTGTTTGATCGTGGAATGACTTCACTGTAACTCTCCGTACTCTCTAACTGCCAAAGAGAGTCCAGCCGGATCTTTAATGGCGTTCGTAAATGTCTTCTTGGCAATTAAACCTGATTAAAATACCCAACAGTGACTCAATTAAAAGGGAGTCGAACAAACTGACAACAAATCCAAGAACCATGCTGTCAGCTCTTTGTTGCTGAGCACAACCTGCAAACTACTTTCGATTTTTGGGACAAATGCCTAAATGGATAATAAATGCTGGCAATATTATTTTGAGAAGGCATTTATAATTGTACACAAAGTACAACGTGGCACTTCATCATCCGCATTATGTCAGTCTGGAGCAGCAGGAGGACGGGAGGAACCCGGCGTATTGATTTTAATTCCATTACGACCTTATGAGTGGCTGCTTGGCAGACTCCTGGGTCAGCACAGCTGTTTTAGTGCAATCGATCGGCTTTCCTCATCAAGGGTGTGGACACGACCCGCAGAACCTCAGGACCTGACCGCGACAAGACCACAATTCAACTTTATTGTTCAATGAGACTTTTCAGACACTTGTATTCTATTTGGCAAAGGCCCTTTTATCAACCGGGCTGTGAAACAACAACGGCTGGGATTTTTTTCCTTTTAGGAAAAGGCAAACGTCTATAGTTTGCCTACTTTTGAAGGAATGAAGGATACAGACCAGTGCAACAGTAACGGTTTGACTAGGTTATTATTCTATGAAAAGATTGATGATGGCATTCGTTATTGTTGTGTGGGCCTGGCCCACCTGGGTAAAGTATACAGTAATGTAAGAAAAACGGATATATAGTACGCGGAGACAGCACTGTATATGCATCGCTCTCTGCAGAGGATAAGTAACATATGCATGTGAGTATTGCTCTCTTAACTGTCTCTATGTGTTGCTCCACTGTTTGTGTGTCCCTTCCAGAAACCAATGCTATTCATGAACTTGTCTATGGCACTTTGGATTGTTTACAAGCATTTGTTTGCAGTAGGTCTCCTTGTTTTATGAACTGTCTGCTGAGCACCCCAAGGTGGACCGCACCAATCGTCCAAAGTCAACTGTGAGAGACTCCAGCTCATTTGAGACCTTGATAAGGAGACTTGATAAAAGGCCAGAAAAATGTATACTGTACTCTTCCTTTCCTTAAGTACGGCAAGTAGAAGCTGACCTGCAAACGAGACCAAAACGTGGAGCAGATTCCGGATTACTGGATTTAAGATATCATTTTACGGCCACGCTAGAACAGAAGTCCGGGAGAAACGACGCCGTTGCAAGGGAAGTCAGCGCACCTTCAAATCACCAGGGTTCCACAGGGGGCGTGGCCTTCGGTGTGAGGCCACCTGCTGCATGCACACGAGCTGCCAGCCAGCAGACTGACCGAGACGCTCCGTCCCAGAATCGCCGTGAAAGTCACGTCGTCACACGAGCGAGGGAAGCCCTCGAGAAGCCTCCGGGGGAGCAGGGTGGAGGCGTTCGTGCTGCGTGCGCGTTGACTTATTTGCATCGCACCCATGTTGGACGTGCCCCTCTCCCGGGCGCCTCCCAGCCCGAGCGCACAGGCGCCAGCTAATATGTTGCCTCCTCTGGTTGCGTGGAAACTAAACGGGCGAGCCTTGAACTGCTGTGGAAGCATCTGCGGCGGAAAGCAACAGACAGCAAGTTGAATCCGCTTCGTGGTGTAGGAACATTGAAAGATGCGGTGGATCATGACGACGAGGGAAAGAGCGCCACAAAGGTGAGTGTATTGGACACATCAATGTTTTGTTTTAGTTATTTTTTTTTAAGTAATCATACGTTCCTCATGCATGACGAGTTCATTATGGATTCTATTTTTCTCCAGACAAATATAGACCAGCATGCCCACATAGGTTTTGTTCAATTATATCTTTCAATTAATTTCCCATTCGTGTTGCATTATGGGTAGGAACCGCAGTTGGTTGAAATGAATTATGCTCATTTGGCATTGACTGATTGAAGTGGACACACGACAACAAGTGATGGATCAGCTGCATCGTCAATCATCAGCATCTATATTTTACCAGACTACGTGAACACTTGCGTGTGACGGCATGGGACACAATCAAAATGTTGCCATGCATCTCCGCTTCAAATCAGTGGAAATTGAAGCTGGCGTCCAATGAGGGCTTTGCGAGCGGATGGAGCTAAGAGCTTGAAAACAACATTACTGCCTGGCTTGATCAAATCTGATCATGTCAAGACTCGGTCTGCCTCCATCCCCATTGATAAACAACCGGCGGCTCATTCAGGCTCTCGTGCCCTGAAAAACACCATGCACCGGCTTCTCTACACAATGCAACTTTAGGGTGCAAAGATTTGGTGTGTAAATTCCAGGATAGCACAGAAGCAAGGCAATGCATTCAAACAGCATGAAAACACATGCATGTCGTGCGAGATCATCTCTCGCAAATGATCCAATTTCACTGAATTGGGGTCCGATTTTTTTTCCAGTATCTTTGTTCATCTGTCTATGCCAGCGATGTATAGTGAGAGGCAGAACAATTAAAAGGTCTTCATCAAGATGGCAGACGGTTACAGTTAACCTGCGTGTCCCCCGTTTGGCTTTCATAAAACATAAGGACAGCATCGAACACTTGTTCACCCTGAGGAAGAACATTTGTTATCAAATTGAGGCCAGACTGTCACGATGTCAATATCGAGACATGTCTTTATTTAGCGGTTGCAATCAAGGTTGGGAAGCATCTATCCATCGACTTTGCTCACAATCGGCCCATTTCCTTGTTTACACATCTTTTATCCCAAGCCGAGGGAAAACAACTTCCGTTCGATTTGCTCCTGCACTTGCTGTCAGCAGGGTGCACGACCAACTAAAACAGCCTTGACAAGATAAGCGCAAAGCCAAAAAGGGGAAACGTGGGCTCAGGAAGAGAAGGTATGGTGGCTCGAAGGAAAAGAGGACACGCGAGCACAAGGGGGAACAGATCAAGAGACAGATACTGGAACATGGCAACACAAAATAGGAGGAGAAAGAACTTACCAAATGCCAAAAATGCCCCCAGGCACTATTTCTAGCACTGTTGTCAACCTGTTTCCAAATTTATTTATTCATTATTTTTGGGTCGGGGGCTGTCCTGACACATTTTCAAGTTGTGCCAATTAAGACCAGAATATTGGAATTGTGTCGCTTGAGCCACTCAAAATTGAGCCTCAACTCAAGTTGACCGCGGTGCAGATCGTCCGCGTGGACCTCGACGGCGAGAGCTGCATCAGCGGTTCTCAAATTGTTAAACGGCGGACGGGTGTTAATTGAATTGGAAGTGGTGGATTTTGTTTGCGGGAAGCCTTTGTGCTCCTCACGCGGGACACAGTATCGCTACCCACCATGGCCACCGCACCCTGCCCGCTACCCCACCTCATGAAACGCTATTTGATACTCGCAGAGAGATCGATGACATTTTTTTTAATCTTTGTAAGTGGATTGGTGCTCATTGACCATACATTTTGAAGGAATTAAAGACGCCTGGGTGAGCTGTGGCGCTCTCGGACAAGACAGGCCTGCACATTGTATGGTTGGTCTCGATTTCCCCTCGCTGGATCGGATGCTTCCCTGAGTTCTTTGGGTGAGGGAAGGTTAGGCCGGGTGGACAAAGAGTCCAATTTCAAGAATGAAACAAAGAAAATTACTCGTTGTCTATTTGAAACACCCACATCATTATTCTTTAGATGACAGCATAGATCCTAACAAAGAATGTAAAATGATAGCTCCATGAGCTAACGGATAGCATCTGTGTCATGGTCTGATAACTCTTAAAGCAGTGGAGCAACACGCAAACAGACACTGTAACAGTATTCCCAGGCATATATTCTTTATCCTCTGAGGATAAAACAACAAATATCCCTGCAACTTACTGCCCCCAGTTGGCCGAGGCACAAACCAGAAGGAGCGGCAAAATGCCCGCTGAACTGAAGCATGAAATGCAGCAAAAAAATCTGTTGAATTTCTTTGCATTCTATTCAATTGGCACGACCGTATTATCTGTTGTAGTCGAGTTATGCATGTTGACTGCAAACGTTTGAATAGTAGTGTAGATATTCCCATTTTTGTGTCAGCACAACTATCTTATTCTTATCCAAAAGATATGACATAGGATTGGCAGGTGGAAGGACAACTGTGTCAGCTCCTCTCAGTTTTGTGAGTTGTTTTGTCGGAATGCTATGTGCCTCTTCTGCTATGTTAATGTCAGTCTGCATGTACCGAAATAGACAAAGTGCACGGCAGGGATGCCAATTAGAAAAGCGGCGCCATGGCACCCAAGGATTCTCTCGGGTTGTTTATTTTGCGCATTTAAAAAAAGGGGCTTCCCGGGAAAAGCAACAGGAGTCCAGTTGTTTCTCAGCTGCGATGAGGGCGCAGCACCCTGTCCACCCGTTCGGACTATGGGAAATTGAGGAGGGGCCCCAGTGGAGTGGGATTGACCCACTTTGTGAAGACACCGGTCTCAAAGTGGCGTTTGAAATCGGACGGTGATTTTAGGGCCTGCAATTGTTTGCTGACATGATGAATGCTGGAGAGTTGTGAAAGCTGACGTGTTGTTTTGTATGCCTCCGCCTCAGCAGTTGCAGGGGCGATTGACGCGTGGCCTGGCCCCAACGCCGAGATGTCCATCGCGGTCGACTACGTGGTCATGTGTTTGCTGCCGCACAGCCTGGTGCTCATGACTTTCTGCTTCCACCACGCCGCCACCACTTGCTCCAAACACTGCTACTGCTCGGAGAGCGACGGCGGCGGCAAGACGGTGCGCTGCAGCAATCAGCAGCTGACCGCGATCCCGCAGGACATCCCCAACGACACGCGGAGAGTCTACCTGGACTTCAACCTCTTGACTTCCATCCCGGCCAACGCCTTCGCCGGCCTGTCGCACCTGGCAGAGCTGGACCTGTCGCACAACGACATTAGCCAGCTGCAGCCGGGCGCTTTCAGAGGCCTGAGCTCCTCGCTGCAGTTCCTTGACCTTTCCGCAAACAAGTTAGTCCATTTCACCGCGGACTCCTTTGAGGGCCTTCGGGCTCGGGCGAATTTAACCAACAATCCATGGCATTGCGACTGCAACCTGCAGATGGCCATGCCCCGCGTGGACCTGGAGCCCGTGTCACTGACCGGCATCGTGTGCCAGACTTCCGACCCGGAGGAAATGAGCGTTCAGGGACTGGCCTTCCTCTTGGAGCCCGACGTCGACTTGTGCGTGGTGATGAAGAGGACTACAGACGTGGCCATGCTGGTGGTCATGTTTGGCTGGTTCACCATGGTCATCTCTTATCTGGTCTACTACGTCAGGGCCAACCAGGAGGACGCCCGCAGACATTTGGAGTACCTCAAGTCATTGCCGAGCAGGCAAGCAAAGTCTGAGGAGTCTTCTACCATCAGTACTGTTGTTTAGCCACGAGGCCGGTGTTGCCCAATCCTTCCGGAGCAAAGGCAAATACTTGACATTTGGAAATGCTTATTCCCCCTCTGAGCCAAAATGTCATTAAAAAAAAAAACACATTGGGGCCATTCCACCAAAAAGAGTGGTGCCTCTAAATACTTGATCCGTGTTTGAGGATGACTGATGAAAAAATGTTTCAACTGAGACGATGTGGAGCTCCAAGGTTAAAACGTTTTCAGAGCACGGCTAAAACGGCGCCATGTCATGCACGTTGAAGTCAGCACATTTGTTCTCATTGGCGGGTACCTGGCGCAATTGTGCAGTTAGCTGGCTCGCTATGCCGACACCTGAAAACACCTGCTTTAGAGCGCCTCGTTGTTGCGGCGTGGAAAAGCCCCGTGATAACATGGTGGGATATACGGCAGCCATCAGAAGCTGTTGAGCAGAAACATTTTCACATCTTAAACGTGGATACAAATGGCAGCGATTTTGGTGGAATGGCCCACAAACGCTGAAATCATCACCAACCACTCTGGTAGGCTACGTACCAGGAAAAGTCATGTCTTACTGATTGATGTGCTTTTTCAATTTCTCTCTCCAAATCATACAGACATCACAAATCATTTGTGACTCAAAGTTTACAAATGGAATTGAATGCGCAATATCTGGGAAGCGCAGCAATGTAAATCATCAGAGTGGCTCATATTATTTTCCCAGCTCAGTCATAACCGCCCGATTGTCACTTGTGCCTGCTCGGCTGTTTGAATGACAAATTAGAGGCGCCGGGCGTCCGACTTCATCTTAACTGCCACATTGACCAAAAAGGAAGAAAGAAAAAAAAAAAGACAAAATCTCATCGACTTGGCTGATTGAATGACAAACAAGGGACCGACAGTGCTGCGAAGGAAGGGACAGGGGAAGCCGGACAGACGCCGAGGGAAAAATAAAACATCACTTACACATAATGAGACTTTAATGAGAATATTCATAAGCGAATGACTACTCTGTATTCAAGATAGAAGAACTATTAAAAAGATGTGCCTGAGGGTACCGCATCGTGGACGTCCACCCATCAGGATGGGGCCTCCTTGACTTTCAAGTGTAATAAGCCGTGCTAACTGAGCTAATTGTCGGCAATACGTTTCTTTGCATGAAAACTTTAGCTGATGCAATGCAGCCCGCATGAATTATTCACCTTTCGACTGCCCATTAGCACTTTTAGAGGGATGCGGTCGGATGCTTTATCGGGGAGTAAAAGCTGGAGCGTGTTTTGGGCAAACCCGGGTTATGATTGCATCTTGAAGCACAGTGGATGATTGCGTCACCTTCACAACACGCGTCCGTACATTTTCATTAAAAAGATGTTTGGCTACTGATGTGTTTGTCTTCTTGCAAGTATAATGGGATGCATGAATAGCAGCTGTCAAAAGACAGAGTGTACAAATGAATATGAACGAGTAGCGAGACACCGGACCTGCTCAGCATCATAAAAAATGCTCATGTTGACAGTCGGGTCTTAGATAGCTTGGACGCGGTGCACTGGTGTTGGTGTTACACCAGCAGGCGCACGCACGAGTGGATAAGGTGACACGTTAAACGGTGGGTAGCGAGGCCCTCTTCGCGGATTGGGTTCCAGGTGAAATTGCTTCCAGCCACCTTTGTGACACGAGGCGAGCATAAATGCACAGGCTGATGGATGGACTGTGCATTCAGTGGGACGCTGTGCATTGTGTGCTGCGAGGCGGGAGCTGATCCAGTGTCACTTAATTGGTCCGAAAATGATCACTTAGTTACTACAAATAATGCATGTTGTATTCCACTAAACAGGCCCGGATTTCACAGAAAGTCCATTTGTGAAGAAGAAGAAGAGACGAGATCATGATTATTTTGGTTTGGTGTCCACCCCCTTCTGTTTATAGCTGATAGGCACCGGGGCCTGCTGTTAACAGCGAAAATTCACAAGTAATTGACATTACCCCCCCCCCCCCACCAGCCAAGGGATCAGTTGAGGTTTAGCTTGCAGTGCACAGATCTCCACGAGATGGCCCCCTTGCACCAGTCAGGCTTTTTCATTTTTTCTTTGTTCCAGACTTTGACAATCACTTGAGAGTGGCCCGCTGCCCATACGGTTATCCAACCACCCTCAAAAACAGCCCACCGTTCCATGACTTTCTTTGAACGAGAGGCCCTTTGGAAAACACATGCACACACACCTGTATTTAACGGTAAGGCGTGCGTATCACCCACAGTGAGCTGGGATTGGCTCCGGCACACCCTAATTAGGCGCTACACAAAATTGATGGCTGGAATTTATTCTAGCGGGATGTAGAAAGCTGGCATTACTTATCAGAACAACGTGTTACCGAAGCTTTGGTAACTTTATGAGCTGACTAACTGAAGTGACTTTGGATGCCGTCCTTCAGGTGGACGCACGGGGGTCCACACCCTTGTCAGTCCCCCTCTCTGCTCACCGCTGGTCTCTGAATTTTCCACCAATCTCACCCTCTCCATTTCCATCTTTTTTACGTCAACATTCACTGGAGGTGAAGAAGATCACAAGCCTCATTCCATTACGGAGAAGAAAGTACCGGTAATGATTATTTTCAAATGTAGGGAGTCAAAGTAAAAAGTCGCCGGAAAAATAAGTACTCAAGTGAAGTACTGTATCGAGAGCTGAAAAATCGACTTCGGTAGAAAGAATTTGAACCTTTATTTCCTACCACTGATTATTCTGTGATTTTATTTGTGAATCAGAAAACCCAAATAAGCATTTACAAATATGCTGTGATCCAAACAATGACATTGCTCATCCGTTTCCCAAACTGTCCCTTTCTCACAAAATTAAAAGGAACTCTGCAATCACTGACAATGACACGCTGTCCGAGGCGAGTATTGGGAAAGCCCAGGATATCTCCACTGCTTGCCACTCATATATATACACGTACGTATGACATTTGGTCAATCAATCAACTGTGTACACTTGAGGTCAGTACTCGAAAGACATTCCGCCGGTCGAGGCCATGAACATCCTGATTGGTGAGTAGTGACGTCAGTGAAATGCTGCCGTCTCTCTGAGCACAGACGAACTGAATCAAACTGTTTGGAGAATTTTAACTTGAAGTCATCCGGACTTTTTTAAGGGGCATACTAGTGTTCTCTCTCTCTTGGTGAGTAGTGACGTCAGTGAAATGCTGCCGTCTCTCTGAGCACAGACGAACTGAATCAAACTGTTTGGAGAATTTTAACTTGAAGTCTTTTTTAAGGGGCATACTAGTGTTCTCTCGCTTTTTTTATTGTATTTATCTTTTTTTCAATAATTTTTTTACATGAGTTTGACATGCATTAGTGTCACATGATCTAGGAATTGGCAGCTACTCTGGCCTGGAGGGAGGAAGCAGACAGGGAAGAGCCAGAGCTCAAGCCTTGTGCTGCACCTCTTTTGGATTTCGCCTTGTTCATGACAACATTTTTCTTGCTGTCTCCCTGCAGTTTTCACTGTCTTCCACATGGCCAGGGTTGCGGGCGCCGCGCCTCTACCGGAGGTTTGCGCTGACATGTGCGCACTTGTTGAAGGGGCGCAATTCCAAGCGCTCGTCCGGAGGAGCCGCAGTCTAACCGAGAAAATCCTGCTCGCCATTCCCGAAGCTCACAAATCGAGCATCCACGCCGAGGTGAGGGACTCTTCATCTTTTTCTCACCAGCGTCTCGATTATTATCGCCGAACAGGTTGTGGACCTAATTGGATTACTGATAGCACAAGCAGCGGCTGCATGGCGACTAGGCATCACTAATCGAGCTCTATTGAATCGTCGCATTGATTGAGTTCTGCTCTTGTTGATTGACATCATGAACTACTACTGGCGCCTGAGCTGTAGTCCAAATCAAAGACGATAAGATGTTTACTTTCAGTTTCTCCTCCAAAATGTTCAGCTGTTTGGTGTATTTTTTTTAGACGGAAAAATGAGTTAGTGGCTTCCTTCAGTTGTGGGCCTTTCCCTGGCTTTGTCCCACACTCCATAGACATGCATGTCAGGTTTCCTAAAAAGTACAAACTGTTCTTAGGCGTGTGCATGTGACAGAATGGTCATCTATGTGTACCCTGTGATGAAGTGTCCATTTTCAATATGTGCGTACTACCTAGTGGTTCGCACATTTGAGTCTCTGGGTTCAAATCTTGCTTCAGGCTGTCCTGTGTGGGGGTAAGGGATTGTTTGTCTAAAGCGATTGACTGGCAACGAGTTCACAGTGCACCTTGCCTCTCGCCCAAAGACAAGCAGAATAGAAAAAATGCTGGATGGATAATCAATTTCAAATTTTTTTTACCATTGAAATTAGGTAGTAACCGAACTTTCGAAAGCATATTTCGCCAATGTTGTAACATGTCTGTTCTTTCGTTTCCTCACCGCAGACTCTGAAACTGAATTCTTCCGAAAACGCCAAGCTCGGCACAATGGCGTCCAACATCAACTTCCCACCTGCTCCCGTGCTCAAAATCGCTTCGGAAAAAGTTCCGTTGGTGAGTGAGTGCTTTTTCCCTAACTGGTTCATGGCCAGTGGACTCCATTTATTGTAATGGTATCAGTTTTTGTTTAAGGAAGAGCCATCCTAATTGATTCAGAAGTCGGTAGATTGTGTGAAATGAATTGAACCCCTCTGCGCAGCATTTTCTGCTCATGGAACCATGGGATGAGACATTTTGGTGGCCGTCCCTACTGTCATTACATTTGATTGTGACTTGTGCTTTAGTGTCAAGTGTTTTTCTAGCCTGATTGGTTTCCTCAGTGAAGTAATCAAAGCCCTGCTGGTTGTTTCTACCCCCTCCTCCCATCAGGAGAGCAGTCTGATACACATGCACGAGGGTCTGCAACTGCACCAGGCCTTGCTGAGCACCATCTCACCTCTGCTGGAAAAAACACAGAGAGTGACTGACCTCATGAATACTGTCCGAGATCTTGCTGTTCAAATTAGCAAGGTAAATAAAACAAACGTAAGGCCTCTGGAATTCTTTAGTCGCTTTGTGATCGCCAGCGGCAAGAACTTACTGAATACTTTTGATCATTTACTAAAGTCGGTTTTACACGTATTTATTTTCCTGACTTTTATTTGTACTTGTGCGCGATGACTTATGCCATCTCTGATGATCCCTCCGCACGCTGGTCTTGGTGCAGATGCTGCGAGCTGTCCAGACAGATTATGACCCGCACACAACCCCGAGCCCCGTGACCTTACACCTGCACGGCGACTTTGAGGTCCAGGTGGCCACCCACCTGACGCTGGTGCAGCTCCAGTCCCTGGGCCAGGATATTCACCGCTTGCTCCGGGGTCTGGACACAAGCCACGAGGAGGAAACGGACAGCGACCTGCTGATGGGACTGATATAACACTGCTCACTCTTCAAAATTATTATTGTTATTTTAATATACCAGAAGTATTTATTGCTCTGCTAAGGGATTTATTTTTTTATTTGCCTATTTATTTGTATGTATTTATTTATATTTGATTGAACAGCTGAGATGACTTGTTGCATGCTGCCTTGTGTCTACACTAACTGCCACCACTTGCCTGTGTCATGACAATCTTACACCAAATACTAATCTCAAAGCTCTAATACTGTACATACTGGAGTCTGACGATCAAGGGAATCTTATTAGACATAATGGGGCATCGTGAAATACTAAGTTCAATCAAATGTTATTTATGGAGTATTTTTGTATGAATGTTCATGCCAATAGTATTTATAATCTGTCCTGCAATAAACCGTTTTCTTAATTTTTGCTTCTCTGACCGTCAATCATAATACAGGATGTCAAAAAAAGCCAATTAAAAAAAATGATGACAAAAGCAATTGATATGTTCATCACAGTTGCGGTTACCAGTTTTCACAGAAATTTTGTTTCAAACGAAGACGCGTGGCGACCTGAAGCAAAATATCACCAATGCCAACGCCGCCGTGTATAAAGCTAATCTACTACAGTAAAAAGGTTATTGAAATAATTTCTACATAGTTAATAAGAGGGAAGGAGGTTCGTGCCTTACGACTCTTTCGGCTTTCCGAGAGGAAGTGTTGTAAGCGCTTGGATGGCTGCCGGTGACCGCAAGCGTCATTCGGGGTGATGAAAAGGCTCCCTCAGAGTCATGTGATGACGTCTCTAAACATGTGACCCTGCACCTGATGCTGGGATGATGCAAACATTAAATAACGAACGGTATAAGGAAAGACAAGCCTTTTGTTTTTTAATGTCGTGACAAGTCATCAAAAAGTAGCAGACACACAAATGGGGAACTTTTACACGTCAAGTGTAAATTCATATGGGGTTGGATTGGGCAACTGACACCCACTCATCCTTGGAAATTGTAATGGATCAAACAACTGTTGTGAATATTGCTCCAATTGTTGAGTGAGACAGTGCTTAAACACTGAATAATTCCTCAGTTGGTATTCAAAAACTTCAGACAGTCAAGTTATTCAACAGGATTTTTTTTTTTTTTTTTTAAACATAGAGCCTGAAGTTTCACCCATAAGCCGAATATCTCGAACTTTTGGCAAAAGAACCTCAAGCGTTACAAGGCAGCGATGGCTTTGGCTGCTACTCTCCTTCCCAGGGGCAGACTCAAGTCAGTGACGGCCAGGACCACTTTGGGTTTGGCCAGAGCGGGCAGCTTCACCAGCTCAGAGACCTGAAAGCACAGAAACAAGGGGGGGGTGAACGAACGCATACAACATGTTGTGCAACACTTGAACACTTGAAAGACCCTGAGCAATGTTTTTTTTTTTTTTTTTTTTTTGCGGAAGATGCCAGTTGCCCCATGAATCAGTTTTCCTGACTTTGTACATGTCCGGGCATGTACATGGCCATTCAAATTTGATGGTCATGGGGCTTTACCAGCCCCTTTGAAAAGATGTTATGGTTAGCTTTCATCCAATTCTCAGCGAAGACAAGGACAATACAGCGGTGCTTTTCCTCAAATCATCTTTCCCCACTGAAATGAATGAAAATCACAATTATCCATTCCAGCCTTTCTCCTAAAAAAAGAGCGTATTGTATTGCATTGTTTGAGGTTTAGTTTGACAGGAGGGGTCAAGTGCTGATAATAGACGATGGCAACGTACAAACCTGAAAACAGCCGACACCACAAAGGAATTGAGAACATTTGTTCTGTCGAGTCAACATTTATGTATTGCAAGAATGAGCACTTCATTCGGCTATTTTCCCGTAAGGTTCGACAAAAGGAGGCCCCGCCTTGGCCTCCCTCCCCTCCGCCACCTGTCTGGCCTCCCCTCCTGACTCACCATTGTAAAAGGCATGAACTGCAGGATGCTTCCACGACTTCCCTGCTCCAGGCATTCCACACACTCCTCCATGAAACTATGCACAAACTGCGTGTGAGGGCCCGCCATCTTGGAGCCCAGGATGGAGGAAATGAGAAGGAACAGGTTGGCTGCGGAAAGGGAAACGGATCTCATAAATTGTCAGGGTTGAAATTACATAATCCTCTTGAAAGTAAAACGTCACACACTACTTATTACACAATCCAACACAAAAGCAGCCAGAAAATTCTGGCTTTACAAACACAGTTTTTTTCAGGATGGTTGCTTGATCACCACCTCACACAAAGAGAATATCAAATAGGTATTTATGACACAAATCCTCCCTGCTTACGTCATGCTGTGGCATAATTTTCTGTCTAAGATCTTGCATGAGTCGTACTGACCAAACAAATTATTCGGGTGTGTTTGGAGGAGGGGGAATCAATGGGGACACCTCATGATGAGTAATTCAGTGAGGACATCGCATGCCACGACGTTTCACTCCGGAAATGTTCCTCATTTCAAGGGGAAGTGTTCAGCGTCTGGAAGAGGCAGATATCTCACCCAAGACGCGGTTGAGTGGCTCTCTCATGTTGACAGTGTGGAGCTGGGAGGCAGAGAGGGAGCTGCTCATTGATCGGTCTCCTGAATGACATCAGTGGAAGAAAATTACACATTCCGCATGAAGTAGTATTCATACATCGCACTTACTTTGCTTTCACTGGAGTATGAAACGGTATTTTTACTCGGCCACATCGAGCTACGATCCACTCGCGACTTTTATTTTGATTTATCTACCATTGTTTGCGGGATCTCACGTGTGGGTTTTGGATTGTCAAAGAGAGTTGGGCACTGTCACACGACTCCGCTTTGCCAATTCATCAGAACGACTCGTAAAGTTGGACCGCATTCGACGACTCAAAAGGAGCCGGGCAGTCACATGACCACACACAAAGTCTCAGTGGTCTCACAGAGCAGCGGTCTGGACCAACTGGAGACGCTTCATGGAGGATTGGCTGATACCAAAGTCAAGTGCATGACAGTAATGTACAGAGCCACAGCTAAATGTGCACAGTTGCGTTCTATCTATATTGTGGCCACAATTGACAAAGCAGCGAATGCCAAAAGGAAAGCTCAAGGCCTGGAAGGACTTCTGTGTTGTGGCCGTCACAAAGAACTGGTAATCCTCATGCAACGTTGTGAAAGACGAGCGGGCTTCCTTCCGCAGTGGGCTGACATTCCTAAAATAGCCTCATGAGACACATTTCAGTTTCTCATTGAGAAAACATCATGACTAGAGTAAAGGTTTTTGGATAGTTTGTTTTCGTTTTAAATAGGCTGTACAGCGGCTCCATGAGATACGAGTTGAATCCGTTCGGTGGCCACGCTCGTACGGCGAAAGTCTTGCATCTCAAATCATCTTTCATAAACTGGCACAATGTGTTCTAATTGCACTCAAAAGAGAAACAATTACACGGAACGCAATGGATCAAATAGCTTGTGCTTTTTGATCATTTCATTGCCGCTTGCTTGAAGCGTTTTAAAACGCACGCACGAACGAGCGTGCGCTATTCATTAGCTCATCGATGGCGTCTCCCATTTTAGGTTAGCATTAAGCTAGTGGATTAAAAAGCAAAGTTACGCGGTTGTTTGAAATACACCATGTGTAATTCTCTAGCCTTCATGTTTGGTTTGACAGTAAACCGAAAGAGGGAGTGGAAATAAACAGTGTGAAGGCTGCCAAAGTGCTGCCTGTTGGGAGGTGCGTTGCGTTCACGGACACAAAACAGCGCTCGTATACACAGGCCAGAAAGACTAATGGCTAACTAACACCTATTTATGGACTGACCTGGACTGGAAAGTGCCACAGGCTCATCCTCATTGGAGCTGAGGAGACGCATGAGCTTGGAGGGTTGCGTGTCATCCAGGGGAAAGAGGCTGCTGTAGTCCTGTGATCCCAAAAAAAAAAAAGCACACAATTGACACACGTCACGCAGCTGCTGCCTGTACGGTGCGTTTACCTCGATGTCTTCTCGTTGTCTTCTCCGTTGATGAGCGGAGCAGGAACCTTTGTGGTTGGATGAGTACGAGCTGAGTGCGCACCACACGGACAACCTGAGGACGCATCGGGAGGGAGGTTCAATACCAGCGCCCAAAACAACGGCAGAACAAGGTCTTACTTGGCCAGTGCTTTGCCAGGAGGGTCGACCAGGCTGTGCCAGTGGGCAGAGTCGGTGAGCAAGTTGGGCACAATGGTGCCCAGCAAGGTCAGGGTGATTTGCTGACTGTCCAGACAGAAGATGCTGTAAAGCAACTCCACCACGCGATGGGCCCACTCCTGCCGAGTTTCCTTGAGCAGCTCCTAAAATTAAAAGTCCACACCCACTGAGATATGCACGCACACACATGGTCAAAGTTTATGTTTTGCTAGCCTAAAAGCATAATTGGTTCAGTCATTTTCAAATGCTTTCAAAAATAAGTTTGCGAAACACTGATTTCTAGGTTTTTAAAAAAAATGGCCTGAAATGGGGCCCAATAAGTACGTTTTCATCGCCCACCTACCTTGACCAAATTATTGGTGAACCAGAAGACGCCGCCCATGTTGAGCAGACTCTGGAAGAGATGCAGCGCTCGACTGTCCACCCAGCCTTTGCGCAGCACCAGCTGGAACTGCTTGGTGAGGGCGGCCCGGATGGGCTCTTTGGCCGGCAGCAGGTTGCGGTAGGGTATGGGCTCCTGGCCCTCCATGGGGGGCCGCAGCGTCGCCGCCGTTTGCTGGAAGACGTCGGCACACATGTGCTCCATGATGGAGCTCATTATTATCACGCTGGGCGGGGGGGAAAGGAACCCATTGAATCCAAGTCAAAACTTTTCATTCTTTACAGTCTTTTAGTCATTTCTATTTGTTTGTAGTAAGTGAAACGTCACAAAGTTTATTTTGCTCAATAGTCACACATCACACCTATGTTGTGTTTGGTATTTCGGGAGGGTGGAAGAAATGAATGGCCCTTCCTATTCATTTCAATCGGGAAACAGTCACAGCCGTATGTACAATAGCTCAATGAACAAGTACAATATGTGATTGACTGAAATTAATTTTGGCTGTAGGTAATGCACGACGCTATCATTTAAAAATAATATTCTTCAGATGGTGAAGGAAATGAAAGGTGATTCATGTGAATCATTTGAGGGCTTTATACCGTTCGCTGTAAAACTGCAGCGTGTTTTCGCCATAGAGCGGGGTGACAAGCTGGCGGATCATGGTCTGAGGCTTCTCCCTCTCGTCCCGCCCCAGCATCCTGACGTGGGCCACCAGCCACGCCACCGCACAGATCGCCATACTGCAAACTTTGCCCTTGATGTTGTCAGTGATCTTCTGCACTCAAAGGAGGATGTCAAAAAGAGGAAGGCGAAAATGGTGAATGGAAAGAGAATGTGTGACGAAAACGCATCCGCATTG